CCTTAATTTTTACCAAAGTCCAGAAACAGAAACTCGAAAATCCATGGAAGGGAAAAAAAGCGTACCGTATTCTTTCGTGGGATCGAGTGTAGACGATCATAACGCGTAAAAAATAGTGGGACCTACTAATCATAAGGTTGATGACGTGGCCATTAATACGAGGTTGATCTCTACTGTACACGTGGCTTTAAATCAGACGGGTTAATTTATTTAGCTCAAGAAAAAAAAAAAAAAACAGTCAAGACTTTTTTTCCCGCTATGTTAACTCTCACTCCTAAAACCCTATCTTCTTCTTCTTCCTCCTCCTTCACTCTGCACAAATCTCAAAACCCTAAATCCCCAAATTCAAGTAGATTACAGAGCTCGAAATGGAGATTTAGTACCAATTTCGTGAAATCGGAGATTCAGATTGAGAGGGGTCTCGAATTCGAAACGGGAGAGACTTTTTTCCGCCATGAAAGCGCAAGAGGTCGTGACCTCGGTGTGCTCTCTGCTTCTTTGTACAAGAGATCCAATGGAAGCTTACGAATACTCGACGCGATGTGCGGATGTGGAATCAGATCGCTCCGTTATCTTGCCGAAGCGGAAGCTGATTTCGTTATGGCGAACGATGCGAACGATGCTTATCGGAGGATAATCACAGATAATCTGAGTAAAATAGAGAGAGGTACAGGAGACGAGAGGAGATGGGTCGTTACGCATCAGTTAGCTAACAAAGCGATGATTGAGAGATATATGGTTGGGGATTTCTTCGATTTGATTGATATTGATTCGTTTGGTAGCGATTCGGCTTTTCTTAGAGATGCGTTTAATGCGTTGAGATTGGGTGGTTTGCTTTACCTGACTTGTACAGATGGTTACTCTTCTGGTGGTCACAGGCCTTACAAGTGAGTTTCGTGCTTTACATTTCCAGATTTTTTCGATTTTGTTTGGTGGTTTGATTGGGAAAGAATCTGAAATATGTATTATCAATAGGCTTTAATATGCTATGATTTGTGGACGAAAGAGGTTGAAAGTTTAGACATTTCTTGGTTTGGTTTGGTGTAGTTCCTTAGCAGCATATGGAGCATTTATTCGTCCAATGCCATTTGGGAATGAGATTGGGCTACGGATGCTTATTGGCGGAGCGGTGAGAGAGGCTGCTCTGCTCGGTTATCATGTTAAGCCCCTTTTCTCGTACTATTCTTATCACGGGCCTGTATTTAGAGTCTTGCTTCGGGTTCACCGTGGGAAGCTACATGAGGACAGGTTGTCTCTACATTCTGAATCTGAGTAAAAGGACTCAGAAATGGGTTGTGCTCCCTTTCTAACGTTGGAATTGTCTTGTAAATTGACTGCAGGAACTATGGTTTTGTCACTTTTTGTCATCTATGCGGCAATTCTGATACAGTGAGATGGGATGAACTTGGTCTGATGGGATGTCCCTGCAGTGATACAAAGGCTTCTCCTTCACTAAAAGTGTCGGGACCAATGTGGCTTGGGCCGCTTCATGATGCAACATATGTTACTGAAATGCTGGACTTGGCGAAGGAATGGGGGTGGGTCAGTGAAGGCATTGGCATGGATCTTGAGAAGCTTCTCAGCATAATGATCGAAGAGAGCGATCCAAGACTGCCTCCCGGATACACCATAATGGATCAGGTACTCAACCATAATTCAGTTACATTGATGAAAAAGACGCATTTTGTCCACATTACATGATAAGGATTTGTTTTTGTTGTGATCAGATGGCAAGCCGTGCAAAGATGAATTCACCTTCATTGAAGAAGATGATGAGTGCACTTGTCAAGGTAAAGATAGTAATTGAATTCTCATAGCTTTGACCATGAATGTGAAGATATAAAGCTAAAAAGATGTGTGCTTTTGTATTTTATGCAGGAGGGATATGCAGTTAGCAGATCTCATATTATATCCAATGCTCTCAAAACAGATTGCCCCATGTCAGATTTTGTAAGGATTGCCAATAATGAAATGCAGAACTGATTTTTTGAAACTGATTACTATCGTATTTTAGTATCAATTCTTCGTCTGTTACTGTGTTACTCTTGACAAGAAATTGAATTGACCCTTGACAGAAGTACAATACGTTTTCCACAATCTAGGAGGCTAAATATATAGTGATGCATAGAGATTAGAGAGTCTGTGGAGTTCGCCTATCATTTCTCTTTATAAAAAGGGTATAGATTTAACAAAAACCAAGAAGAGAAGAAATAACAAAAGTCGAATTTAACTGATAAATAGTCTGAAAGCATTCAAAGCTCGAAATGGCAAAATCATCTTGTTGAACAGAATGTAGAAAACATGTTCAAAAATTTCAGACAACACTGAGACTGAAACTAGAATATAAAGAGTTTTGAGTTGCCAGTTTCTTGCAGACTTCAAGCACGGGAAGCAGCAGGAGCACCACCAGCTGGGCGAGGAGCCTGACCAGGCTGTCCAGGCTTTGGTGCATCCTCCTGAAAAATTTATCATTTCTCAAACCATTCAGTAAAAAGCTGCATAAACAATGTAATGATTTCGCAGCTATGTAAAGACTAGTCTGAAACTAATTTAACAGAATCATTTAGTATAAAGTTCACATTCTAATGAAGTGCTT